TTTCTTTCATCTTCCACCACTTATAAATTAGGCTTGCCACTGTAGTGTGTGCATTACACTGTATGCATTATCCTCTACTGTTTATAGGGCTACCTTATACTGTTTACCTTCAGACTTAACAGTTCCGATGCATAGCCTCGGCAGTGCGTACAATCACAGTTCTACATCTGAAAGTCAATTAAATACATTCATTTTCCTCTCCTCCCCCCAATCTGGATACAATCACTGGAATCATGCTGTCGTCATAGAGAGAAATACGCCAGCAAACAGTGGAAGTGGCTTTTGTAAATGACTATAATTTCATTTCCTTACTATTCCAATTCTTTCCCAGAATACACCCTCTGTTCAGCAGGGTATGTATATTTGTAGCAGGAATTTATATAACTACTTCAATTTGATCACTGTTAACAAGCACCTCTAGAGAGGTAGAATTTCAGGCAGCTTCATTATTGGCCTTTATTCCTTATGCACAACAATGCACCACTTACATTTTTGTTTTGTTTCACAATACAAATCCTTCTATGACACGTGTAGCATATTTTGCATGCAGAACCTAAGAATTGCAGGGTGAAGGGGTTTCATCAGAGGAAAGCTCTACTTTGTCAAAACTCAAAATGACATATATATATATAATCAATATAAATTAGAGTGAAAGAGTAGATTGTGGGCCAGTCCTCAGCTAGGGTAGACCGGTGTAGCTCCATGGATGTCAATGAAGCTACACCAACTGAAGGTCTGATTCTGTGACTGTAGGCACATCCCTGAGTAAGCGGCTGGGCATACACTGCACCAACTCAGGCAGCCTGGGAAGCACTGCGACATGGAGACACACCTCCAAGTCACTTCCCTGTTTCATCCTTGTTCCAGAGAGGAAAGAGACTGCTAATAATTGCTGCTGTCCTATACGTGCAGGACATTAAAACACTCTCTGTGGGCCGGCTCACCTGTAATCCCCTTGCACTTTTTTGCCGGCATGTAGCCCAAATCACAATCTAGCCCTAATTATTTGGACACACACATAGGGTTTTTTTGTTTTTGTTTTTTAAGTTTTGTGATTGGTTATAACCATTGAAGTCAAGAGGTAATTTATGGATAACTATTTTGCACTTCCCCACCCAGACCTCAGCAAACCAACTCCTGATGCTCCCATAAGCAAGTCAGTGGTAATGCCCACCTATATTGAATTGCCTTTAATCATCCATCTGAATGATAAATGAATCTGCATGCACAAAATGAGAGTCTGTAATGATGCTAATTACTAACCTTCCTTAGTCTGTTACCTCAGGATATCCAAGCAGTAAATGAGAATGAGTAAGCATTATAAATTTGGTCACATAAATCCTACTTTTGAAGTTACATTGTATGGTCACCTTGCCTTAAAGACAAATGGGTTTAAAACCAACAGTCTAAGAATAACACAATATGGAAAAGGGTATTTAAAATTATTAACCATAATATTTACAAAATAGAATAAATAATACAATAATCACCGTCTCCACCCCCCCTTATGTGAGCTGTTGCCCTGGTTATCATCTGGTGTGAGTTTGCCTTGATTTACATAGGTTCCCATCCTGCCCATCTTTTCTCATACAAGGATTCCCATTCACTGAATTAGGACTCCTCATGTGCGTAAGGATAGCTCACATGAGAAAGGGTTTGCAGGAAACATAGGCCTTGGATTGTAGGCGAGTGCACAAAGGGGGAAGAGAACACAAGGAGCAAGGGGTAGTTCACTGTTCCAGACCTTGTGCTTCCTGGGCCCAATCCATGGCCATGTTAGTCAATGGGCGTCTTTGTGCTGGTTCACGACCACCAAGCAGAAGGACTGGGAAAGTCAGGCACAACCTCTGGTGCTAGATAGAATCATAGAATCATAGAATATCAGGGTTGGAAGGGACCTCAGGAGGTCATCTAGTCCAACCCCCTGCTCAAAAGCAGGACCAATCCCCAATTAAATCATCCCAGCCAGGGCTTTGTCAAGCCTGACCTTAAAAACTTCTAAGGAAGGAGATTCCACCACCTCCCTAGGCAATGCATTCCAGTGTTTCACCACCCTCCTAGTGAAAAAGTTTTTCCTAATATCCAACCTAAACCTCCCCCCACTGCAACTTGAGACCATTACTCCTTGTCCTGTCCTCTTCTATCACTGAGAATAGCCTAGAACCATCCTCTCTGGAACCACCTCTCAGGTAGTTGAAAGCAGCTATCAAATCCCCCCTCATTCTTCTCTTCTGCAGACTAAACAATCCCAGTTCCCTCAGCCTCTCCTCATAAGTCATGTGTTCCAGAACCCTAATCATTTTTGTTGCCCTTCGCTGGACTCTTTCCAATTTATCCACATCCTTCTTGTAGTGTGGGGCCCAAAACTGGACACAGTACTCCAGATGAAGCCTCACCAATGTCGAATAGAGGGGGACGATCATGTCCCTCGATCTGCTCGCTATGCCCCTACTTATACATCCCAAAATGCCATTGGCCTTCTTGGCAACAAGGGCACACTGCTGACTCATATCCAGCTTCTCGTCCACTGTCACCCCTAGGTCCTTTTCCGCAGAACTGCTGCCTAGCCATTCCGTCCCTAGTCTGTAGCTGTGCATTGGGTTCTTCCGTCCTAAGTGCAGGACCCTGCACTTATCCTTATTGAACCTCATCAGATTTCTTTTGGCCCAATCCTCCAATTTGTCTAGGTCCCTCTGTATCCTATCCCTGCCCTCCAGCATATCTACCACTCCTCCCAGTTTAGTATCATCCGCAAATTTGCTGAGAGTGCAATCCACACCATCCTCCAGATCATTTATGAAGATATTGAACAAAACCGGCCCCAGGACCGACCCCTGGGGCACTCCACTTGACACCGGCTGCCAACTAGACATGGAGCCATTGATCACTACCCGTTAGATAATTTAAAGGGAGTATAGAAGAGAGGGGTGTCCAGACCTAGCCTCACTACCATGCTCCAGAGTGTAGCAGGGTATTTCTACACTTCCCATAGCAGCATGGCTTTTAGCCAAGGTAGACAGACTGACGCAAGCTCTACTTGAGCTAGCATAACCAGGAGTTAGGTGGGCTTGTACACTGGTGGCTAGCCTATAACATCCATGCTATTTTTAGCATGCTAGCTTGAGCAGAGTTGCATGTGTCTATGTACCCAGGCAGGGAGGCGCACTGCCAGCTGCAGTGCAGACATAACTACAGAGGGTCAATTCTGCATGCATTCCCTGAGTGCTTCTGAAGACATCGAGCCTGCCTCCAGACCCAATGGGCCTGAGTCTCCATTGCTCTGAGTACAAAATGGGCATATGCAGCTAACAAATCAGAATAGCAATGTTTTCATAATCACTTTGCACAGGTGCTGGGCAAAGGATAATCAAGTCCAATGCCTTTCAGAGCTGAGGGGTCTGTCCCACAGCCATATCTACTTTGCAGGCGGTGGTGGTTCATAGGCCACTACAGAACAATGTGTAGGTGAAGAGGCAAGTAAATGTAGGGGACTACACGTTTCTTTAAGATTAGCAATAGGAAGACAAAGAGAACCTCCTAATTCCTAATTTTTATAAGAGCTTTTGAAAGTACAATATTTCTCCTGCTTAAAAGACTGCACCTGAACTGGCAATATGTAACTGATTTATCTAATGCATTTGCTTATTTTAAGTGTGGCTCTTAAAATCAAGTTCCCCAACCTCATAAGTTAGGCTCCTTCTCCAAGAGATCCTAAAGTAACGTAGCTGGGGTAGACTGGAAGAACAGTTGTTTGTATTACTTTTATTCTAGCTTACTTTCAGTTAGAAGAAGAGTTCAACTTAATGAACAAGCTAACAGTTCTTGTGCATCAAGATGTAGATGGAATTGGAAGTAGAAATACCTAGGGGAACAGTCTCAGACTACTGGAGACATTACAAGAACAGTTTTCTCACAAGATTCCTATCCTCAGTTATGGATTCAAGGCTCGATTGTCACTTTACAGTCTATCCCATAGGGAGGGGCAGGAGTCATTGTGCTGCCCCTAGAGAAGCTCAGGCAGTGCTGGTAAAAACTAGCGGTAAGTTACCAGCTCCTGTGTGCAAGGAGGAAATGGGGCAATTGTGACTCCTTGCCTCAAAGGGCTGCTGCTGGGCATCTAATTTAGATACCACCCTTTACTCAGAGCGGCACCTGAAGTCACGATCTAGCCCTTAACATAGTTTTACAAAGCTTAGAAAATATCTTCATGTTACTGCATAAAGTATGCAGAATTACTCACTTTGGCTGAGATTCTTTTCACATCCATTAATTAAATAAACCTCATGTCCCCAGTCCCGTCTCTTTACTTACAGTGCCTCAGCCTCACACCCCATCTGGAATTATCTTGCTTTGATCAGTTCAGCTGTGATTTGACTCCATAGTTAGGCTTCCCTGGTGCCTCTGATTACAAACAGCTTGAATTTGTATAGGAGACTGGCCTTATTTTAGATCATCTCCTAATTGAAAGACATCCAGCAAGTTCAGGAGCTTTTGTAAGAACATTTCACAAAAGGTAACATTAGAGTTCAAAAAATGTATTTTCTCCTAAATTACACTGAAATAAATCAGGAGCCTATCTACTGAAGTCAGTGGAATTAGTCTTATGTAAGAGAGGCATGTGGGAGATCAGAATCAAGCCCCACATCTCTAGTGCAGAGTTTGCTACAGCTTTGCACACTGATGTGAGAATTAAATTTGGTGCAAGCTATCATCTAACTCACTTTAACACTCAGCCATGAAGAAATGTAACATGCCTTAAGTTCTTGGGCTGATAAAGCCTTTAAGGAATCCCTTGCTATGGAAATGACACCAAATTTTTTGCTGTACTGGTAAAATATTTGTAGCAATATTTTTAGCTGATAAAATGAGAGAATGTTGCATTGTCAGCATACAAAATATACAACCTGCCAATTTGGATGGGAATTTCATTAAACAAACTCTTAATGCCGTAGCTTGTTTTGTATAATGTAGCAAATGGTTTTCCATTCCCTTACCATTAGGTAACAGAAACCCGGACTGGTCCTCTTGGCTGCAGTAACTATGACAACCTAGATTCTGTCAGTTCTGTTCTGGTTCAGAGTCCTGAAAATAAGATTCAGTTACAAGGTACGTAGGTGCAATTTTGTTAAATATCCTCCTATTCCATAAAAAAATATTTTCTCTTTTAACTTTTGCTGCCTTCGTAAAAGGTCATTTCCCTAATTTTTTGTCCAATAAGCACATTCTGGACAAAGTGAAGGAAGTGTCAGTAACTCATGTTGTGTTTGAACTAGAAACAAAGTTGGTACTAACCAGAAAATAATGTAAGTCTGTTAACATATTACAGCCTTATTTAACAATCAATCATGAATGCACTCTTTACCCACCAAAACTTCCAAAGTGTACACTGAACAGGAAATGAAATGTAGACCTCTTAGTACATCCCGGCTCATTTTGAGTAGTCCCAATTGAAATTGATGGGACTATTTGAAGAGTAAAGGCCAGAGTTTTAAAGGTATGTAAGTGCCTAAAGATGCAGATGGGCACCTGGAGCTGGATTTTCAGAAGTATTTAGTTGCCTAATGAGATTTTGAAAAGAAAATAAGCTTGTTAGGCACTTACTTGCAATTAAAATCAGTGGGAGTTAGGTACCTATCTGCTTCTTCAGGTGCTTAAATATCTTTAAAAATCTTGTCCATAGTGTCTATGGCAAAAGTACCCAAACAGGTTATGTGCCTAACTCCCATTAAAATCCAGGAAACTGAGGCATCTATTCTACATAAGCACTTTTGAAAATCCCATTAGGTGCTTATGTGCATCTTTAGGTGCTTAAATGCTTTGAAAAATCTACTCATACCTAAAACCCCACATCAGCAAAGGTGGCAGAATCTAGCCATTAATCATTGCTTTTATCAGTTACACAAGGGGTACTGTGTATAGAGGCTCAGTATTATTGCAGCTAACAGACCCAATTGTAGTTTCTTTCCAGTTGCAAGAATTCTGGATAATTACATATATTAAAAAAACAAAGAAGATGTATTTAACTGTGAAAGTGTGTATTGCACTTTCACTTTTCCAGAACAAGGGGTGGGATTTTCAAAAACACCAAAATAGGAGCTCAAAGAGATTTTTTCAAGGGCAGGGGCACTTAGAGTAGGCCCAATCACGTGAGTGGGATTACTTGGTGTGTAAAGGGAGCAAGATTTGGCTCATTTTGCAAATTAAGGCTCCAGCCCTGCAAACACTTGCTGCTAATGCAATGTCTACACATGCAAGTAGCACCCCTAATTTCCACCAAAATGCTCAATTACTACTTGTATTAAATGTTTGCAGTATCAGGCCATAAATTGGCAGAACATAATATAAAAAGTGTTTTTCAGTTATCAAGATAGACTATCAGGATTATTTTATCTCCCTGTTGAATATGTCCACATTCTTTTTTTCTCCTACGTCTGTCTTGCTAGCAGTTTATGAGGACATTAAGGAGAGCATAGGTTAAACATCATGTGATATCTTTTTTTTAAGGCATAAAACAATTTGATAGATGATGTTATTTACATGGAGGCTCATCTCTTCCACTGGGTCTGCAGAAATAATTTGCCATTTTGGAATGTTCTTTGTTCACTCACAGTTGTCAATAAAATAGGTAGAAAAGTGGTTATTATGTCAATGAAAGACAGATTTGATACATGCCATTGGATTACATTAAAAATCATAATGTTATTGCTGCTTAAACTATTTTATATTTAATCATGTTGAACAAAGGATTGCCTACTGAGATTTTCTTTTCACTTTGCAACTTCAAGGCTTTTCAGAAGTATGTTGATATGTTTACAATCATGCCTAAGTAACAGCTGAGTTTTACATGATTTGACATGAGGTAAAGGACCAGTAAAAAGACAGCTGGTTTTAGCAATGGCATCAGTGTTCTCAAACCATTGTGGTATGGCTTTCTACTTGCAAAATTTTACAATATTATTATTATTTACTAATGTATTAAAAACAAGAAAGATTTTCCTGTGAACTTGAACAAGCTCCTGTATAGTAGAGGCATATATAACAAATAACCTGTTATCTATGGATTATGATACTCTTATTCACATTGAAAAGCAATTTGCTCCACAAGTATTCCCGTTGATTCCAGTCAGACTGCTCATGGAGTTAGATACGTTTCAGTGTAAAAGTATCACGGTCTGACCCCAAATCTTTGGCAAAAGATTAATATTAATAAGGTAGCTGGCTGTATTTTATTGTTGCTGTTTAATACTGTAGCTAGCATGACTGACAGCCATAACTAAATTAGAATTCAGTAATTACCATATAATCATGCTCATTGGCATCATGCAAATGCTACTCCATTATTATAAAAGTAGATCTTAATTTCCAGTTGCAAGAATTCTGGATAATTACCTATATTAAAAAAAAACAAAGAAGATGTATTTAACTGTGAAAGTGTGTACTTTGCACTTTCACTTTTTCAGAACAAGGGGTGGGATTTTCAAAAGCACCAAAATAGGAGCTCAGGGAGATTTTTTTCAAGGGCAGGGGCACTTAGCCCCAACCCCCACTGACTTTCAATGAGAGTTTGGGGCCTACCCCCAATTTGTGCCTCTGAAAATTTACCCTACAAGTCTCATTGACCTTCAGCAGGACTTGTGCTCCTAACTCAATTTTGAAAATCCCTTCCAAGACATACCAGCCAGTTTGGTGATAATCATTTTGGTCCTGGTCTAATATCTCTTGAAGTCAACAGGAATCCTGGAAAAATGGATCTGGCCCTATGGGTCCAATCCTGCAAGGTGCTGAGTGTGTCCCCTTGAGGCACTCCCAGTGAGAACTGGGTTCTCAGCACTTAATAAAACAGATAGCAAATCTTCAATTTTATTTTGTGCACCATCATAGAAATACAGTTGGCAATGAATCATCGTACATATATTTTTGCAGCATACTATTAAGACACTAAACACCTACATTAAAAGGATAAAAGAATGAAGCATACGCATAGGAAATAAAAAGTGGGGGGGGGTTAGCTCATAGTTTCTGTTCTTCCTCATTTGTCTTCACAGCTTCATGGACAGATAATTGGAATACATTAGACATTACGTTGTGAAAAGGAAACAACAAAAATGTACTAAAGCTAGCATGTGACTGCACACTTTTCCCCCTGATTGTTTCCCTTTCCCCCTTGTCCTTTGTAATTGGTTTCTCTACATCCATTTTTCCAAAGTTTACATTAACTGCTAATATCAAGATTGTAATTTCACAGCATTTTTTTGCTGCAGAAAAGCCCTTCTGACTCTGGCTATTTATTAATCAATTCTTAACAAGGTGAGGTTGATATAATCCATCCCACCACCCTTTTTTTTTCCTGACAGTCTCCTCAGAAGGAAAGTTCTCCAGTAAGCCCTCTATCTGGAGAGCACAGATTACTAGGATTGATATTCTGAACTCAGATGGAAATAAGGAATTCATCTGAGGTTAAGCCTTGAGAGAGGAAAAATACTATATAGTGGGAATGCTAGACAGAAGGGTAAATTGACCTAATTAGGCCACATAGTTCCCTTCTGTACCTAAAATGTTACTTTGTCACTATGATATGTAGATTTCTGATTCTGTTTGGGTCAACCCTATCTCACATTTCAATGAGATTATTCCTATTTTATTTTCTGAAGGTCTTCAGCTCATCCTGCCTGAATATCTGCAGGAGCGTTTTGTGCAGGCAGCTTTGAGTTATATTGCCTGCAATTCAGAGGGGGAGTTTATCTGCAGAGATAATGATTGCTGGTGTCAGTGTGGCCCCAAATTCCCAGAGTGCAACTGTCCGTACATGGACATTCAAGCCATGGAAGAAACCCTGCTTCGCATAAGTGAAACCTGGAATGCTTACAACAGCGAATTTGAAGAGTCAGGTGTGATCTTTTTAAATATTTGTATTTGTGTTACTGAATATCACAGAATTTCCTTAACAATGAGGGGTGAGCAGTCCCTTTGAAGCCCCTGGGACTATGTATGTGCTTAAAGGTAAGCATATGCTTCGGTGCTTTGCTGGATCTGTGCCTTACTTATTATAACTCCTTGATCCCTATAGGACAAATGCTACCCCAACCTCCAACAGGTGGTGAGGGCAGTGGAATTGGTTTTGGATTTGGGCCGGCTGCTCAGAGAATACTTATCTCCTGTAAGCGATGAAGCCTAGCTCCAAGAGGGCCCTTTCCGTGGCAGTGTGAATGAATATATGGGAAGGGGAGGAGACAGATGAGAGAAGGGTCAGCATTGGCCAATTCACTGTTACACAGATTCTCGTTCTGCAGCAGAAATACACTAGAACTGCAGCTGCCACTAGAGCCCACCTCTGCTCTGCAGCCTTAGGTGGAAGATTCCTTCCACACTTCCGACCCCCACGCTGCTGTTGAGATACACAGTACCCAGCTGGGATATTTGGGTTGAGCACTGGGGATTGGATTTGCCCCTAAATTAACATGGACTTGATGAATCATCCGTGTAAGAATTGGTACTCCAAACACTTCTCTTCAATCCCATGAGGACTGTTTAAACTGGACTAGTTCCATCTCATTCCCCCACCACATTCTGTGTAACACTGGCTTTCTTCAAAACATCAGGGTTTGTTTCACACACCATTTCCCTCCTTCTCATCCCCAGGACTTCCAGTCCCATAGAGAATGGAAACTGCAGGTAAAATTGGCTTCTGAACAACTGTTTTCACAACTCATTCACTCAGTATTATCAGGACCAGCTGTCTAGCCAGCTGGCAGAAAAGGAAAGGAGAGCTCGGGGAAAAAAATATCAGGCAGAAAAATAGAAGTGAAGGTATGTAAGAGAGGAGTAGAGAAAAGTGGAAATTGTAGAATGAAATAAAATGTATGGCAGACAGGAAAGATATAGTCTGGGGGAGACAGGACCGAGAGGAAAAAAAGCAAATGCAAGAACAGGAAACGGGGAGAAAAAGACTGAACACTAAAATGCTTGCTTATAAATGGGGGTGGACAGGGGAATTTATAAGTACTATGTTTTGTTGTAATGAAAAATACCCTAATTTCTCTTTTGAGGCCGGGAAATTCAAAGCTGTTAATCATCCAACTCCCACTGACTTTCAATAGGATTTGGATGCCTAATTCTCTTAGGCTCCTTTGAAAATCTCAGCTCAAGGCCCTAGCACTGGTCCTGCACCTGAACTGAGGATGTGGACCATGGAGTTCTGAGAGGATGCCATGAATCAAACATTGTTTAAAATATTCATATATTTGTTGTTTTTTTATAAAGCATCCTTCTTTGAAATTCCTCCATTTTGACACATTTGTACATTTCTGAAATCACACCTTCACTTAGAACATTATACATTAGTACAATTACATTGTAGGTACTGACAAGATGTAGTTTTGCCTATCCATATAGTGTCCTGTTTGAATGGGAGGTGATATTGGTTAGCAATTCAAGAATGTCAGATGAAGCCATCTCATAACATCAAGTGCCTTGATGCATCACTGTCTGAGAATATTCTCTTTTGAGCTGCATTTCATCTAAAGATGACTGCACTTCTTTGAGTGTCCACTCTTGGCACATGTGCTGACTCGTGCCAATGAATGGTACCTCCTTCTATGAGTAGTGTCTGTTAGAGTTCTTGTGCATCCCATCTAGCTCCTCCCTGCAAAGCTCTAGCATGTTAGGTTAGAATTAAGTGTTTGTAGTTAGACAGTTATAGTTACCATTGATAGCAGATCCAAAACCCAAGAAGTATGGGTTCAAGAGATGCACTCCATGTCGTGTTGTCTTCGCAGCATTGGACACTCTCACACTCTGTCTGAAGTGCTTTGGAGAAGAGCTTTCTCCTTCTACCTGCAGAAACTTCACAGAACAAGCTAGAGGCAAGAGGCAAAATAGCATTCAGTCCCTCTTACTACAGGAAGCCTCATCAGTTATATCTTCCAGGTCAGAGATTTCTGAGGCTCCTGACAAAATGGATAAGAGGCCTGAATCAGCTCCAGTACCCTACAGTTTCAGGAAGCCTTCTAGTCTAAACTATCAGCATCTAGCTCTAAAAGACTGGCACTCCCTGATTAACCCCACAGATCTGATTCCTACAAGGGTACAAGCCCATGATGGAAACACGTCTGGGCAATTACCAATCTGTGACTAAAACTCCAGATCCAAAGACTGAAGAAGGGGGAAAAAAAGCCAAAACGAAACACTTGTCAGTACCTGGGGCCACTCCCCATACTGGGGACTCAGTCTCCCGGACCAAGAGCATGCAGAGCTGAAGACCTCCAGGGACTGGAGTCATAAAATATGGAGTCATCTGACCATCCTTTTATGTCAGTTGTTGGATCTGAATACTACCCCGGCACCAATACTGTCTGTTGTTATAACTGCACAATTTTACTCCAAACTGAACTCCTCAGATTTTGTTGGATCTTTGCAGAGACAAGGGAAGAGATGCATGGATAATGAAGCCTGCAGTGTCTCTCCCTGCTCACAAGAAACAAAAGGTAGATACTTCACCACCTGGGTTGTCACTTATGCTTCCCCTCCACCCTGCCCCGAAGACCTACTTTCTCTTGTAGGGGAGCTGTATCACCTCTTTTGTAGATTCCCCATGTCAGTGGTATCTCCAATTGTCACCTTGTTGGATCTGGGATGTTTACAACATGTCCCACTAGCTGAAATTGGTAAAGATCAGTGCAGAGCTCAATGCATGCTTTTACTTAGCATTATGTGATAGATATCTAAACTGGACCAGATGCCCGTTTTGGCAGATCAGTTCTTCAATCTTTATTTAACTTAAGGCTTTTTACCCCTCATCCTACTCTGATTACCATTGGCTAAGCCTTCCCAAGGGTGGGAATATGCAGAGGACACTTGAAGAAGAAAAGAAGGTTATTTATTTGAAGCAGGTTCTTTGAGATGTACTCTGCATATCCACTGTTCCAACCCTCCTTCCCCTTTAAGGAGCATTAGTTTTGTTAATGGTGGAAAGCCCTGAGGTGCATTAATGGTGGGAAGAACTGAGATGACCACTGCTACAGTGCTCCCTTTAATAGCCCCATCCTGATAATGTGCTGGAGTGATAAGGGGAGTGGCGAGAGGGGGCCTCACAAGTGTTCTAACAGTAGAAGACTGTACCATTCAGTACATATTCCAAGTGTGGGAATATGCAGAGTCCATCTCAAAGAACCTCAGTTTCAAGTAAGTAACATCCCTTTTTGTTTGTCTCAGACTGTAAATGTGTTAAAAGCTGCTACATATCATATCTCTTATGGTACCATGTTGATTTTGCTGCTGAATATTTAGGTCAATGACAAGTTTCCCAGTAAAAGTAATTGTCTTTCCATGGCCTCTATGGTATTACAATTTTTTTCTGTTGCTGCATCTTACCCAAGCAGTATTATTTATACTGCAATAGCACCTAGAAGCTAAACTCATGGACTGGGACTCCATTGTGCTAGCTTCTGTACAAAGACTGTTCTTGCCCCCAAAATAGCTTACTATCTAAACACCTCTTCTCCCTTTGTTGAGAACAATAGAGTGACTTCATTTAATAAGGCGGAGATTCATCAATGTGGTTATGAATAGATACTTTCCCCTGGATGTTAACCAACAGGAATGTTTTGGTTAGTTATTTATCAGTTGTCTATTTTAATAAATAAATGCCAATGAGAATTACTGAACATTAATGGGCAGTATCCATCTAAAACTACATGTGGTATTCTCGGGGGAGGGCAGCCCCTTATACCAGGCCAAGAGGAATATTGGATAGAAAGACAGCTAAAACTTAGCTTCAACTCTACTCCATGGAGTTTATTGGTGTTACTAGAGAGAAGAAGACAGCTGCTTTAAATGAGATCCCTGAGTCACACACAGTTAAGTTTCACTGCAGCAGTAACGACCTTGGGTAGTCCACCATGAAGGAGAAGATCATTTCCCTAAACAACATGGATGCTTGAGAAGATCTTTGTGCCCCATTTGAGCTGTGATAAGCTGAGTATAAACCTGTTTTTCTATGGACTGAGCAATACACAATTGAAAAATACCCAGAGCTCAATAGCACCTTCCCAGCCCATCAGATGCAATCAGTGTCATCTCTCAGCTAAGGGAGAGCTTGGCTGAAGTCTGAAAGTAGATGAAGAGCAACTCACTGAAGCGACATCCAGGAAATATTGAGTGAGGGGAGAGGGATGCCATTTTGAACAATGCAACACCTTTATAACCCTTATATCATCACCCATCATTGAGGGAATCTGGCCAGAGATTATTAAAACAGTCTACAGCTTTAGTATTCAGCTGGACTTTTCACCACTTATGTATAGTGAAAGCTATGACTGCAAATATATCCCTTTTTAATGAATATCTGGAAAGCGGGCTACTCAATCCCCATCAAATTCAGACTTAGCCACAAATTTGTAAAAGTCTAGCCTTATAGTTTTTCAGTATCTCAGAAAGAGGTTACTAAACATATCAACAGGACAAGAAAGAAGTAAAACCCACTCACGGTGTGCTCTCAGGGTGCAGCGATCATAATGTCAAGGGAAAAATCGGTAATAGTGGAGCACTACATTTATAAAAAATTGGCAATTCAACTATATTTAAAATTATATTGATCTGCATGTCAGTTTAACATTAACACAGCATGTTGGTAATTATTACTAGGCTTATTCCTTAAACAATATGAAAGTAAATACATTATTAATAGGATTTCCATTAAACTGTTTCTCTCGACCCCTCACACACCTTTCTTGAATTTATTTCAATAAATGTAGACAATATAGTGAGATCTGAGCGTCTAAATCCCTTAGGAAAGCTTTGAAAATCTCTGCCTTACATTTTTAGAATATTTTGTGTAAAGATATATACTGAAAGCAAGGACAACTTAGGTGAAAAATGTTGTCCTGCATTG